ACTTTCAACTCCATCAGACTGAGATATTTACCTGTAGCCAGTTTGTGCCTAATCAAAATTAAAGCAAAGCAGGCAAAATTAGCTTGTTAGCATTTTTCACTGTTAGCATTGGAGAAATGTCACTTTTTGCCTGGGGCAGTTGTGGTAGCTTTACCACAAAGGGAAAAGCTATTGTACCAGCTACGTCCCTAAGCATTTAGTCCTGGGCATCCAAATGGAGCAAGAGTAATGATACGATAGTTTTCTATTAATTTATGCAGAAAAGCAAGGAGGCTGGGGACAGGGTAGACCAGCCTTAGCTCAAAGCATAATGTAACTGGCAAGTAACAAGCACTTTTTAGTCCTCTTTGATGTATGGATTTCTAACTTTTTTCTAACAGAGATGACCCTTTGTAGAAAAATTTTAAGCCAACTGGAAATAGATTTGCTTCCCTCATTTACCATTTCTGTGTCCTTTGGGAATCATCCCCACAGGCTAAAGATCTGTCTCTCTCTCTTAGATGTTGTGCCAAGCAGCATGCAAGTTAGGGCTATTTTGTGTACTGCTTTCTCCAAGTGTCCTCTACAGCATGCTTGGGAAGAGGTCATTTTTTGGGGAAGGATGGCCAGTTGTTCAGAGCCCAAGAACCTGTGTTCTGTTCTCATCTCTACCCAGATTCCCAGTATCACTTCAGGCCAGTTCCTTGTCTGCTTCATACTTCAACTCCCTGCCTGTAACACCAAGAGAGCACCAGGTCCTGTCTCAAAGATAGATACTCAGTAGATGAGCAAGTGCGACGTGATCCAGTGGTGGAAGCTGGTTAAACAGACATGTAGATTTTGGGGCTGACTATTTTACTGAGTAGGCTAAAATTGTTCCTAAAGCTACAAGAGCTTTTGAGTTTGCAGGCAAGTGCATGGAGAGACAGGGCTTGTTAGTCAGCCTGACTGAGGTGAAGTTATAGAGAGCAACATTGTCTTCGAAAACCCAGAATTCTGGCTTAAAACACAGGAAATAGTCTATGTGCACAACAGCACTGGCATTCAGAGTTAAGGTAGAGAGTTCCTGTCAATCTTTAACTCGCCAGAGCAACTTCAACGCTGCATGCAGCCATCTTCTACCAGAATAGTGAAGACAACAACTTCTTTAGACAGAAGCCAATTGAATTAACTATATGAAGGATTTCTGAACAGGTGGTGCCAAGTCCTAGTGCCTTCATTCATAATGTCAATGCCACAAACACAGTGATTTTGTGTGTGTAATTCAGATCACCTCCACAATTTGCAAATATGCAGAGAATAGTCCATCTCTGTAAGCAAATACTGCAGAAACAGTAGTGACCACTTTGCTATAGCTGTAACTGCACTGGTGTTACTGGTGCACTTCCAGTACCAGCAACAACATCCTGGAAATCGGAGAATGCATATTTAAGGCAACGCTTTAAAGTGTTACTGCTAACTCTAAACAGTCAATTCTTCATTACACAGGATAATAGAACGTAGAAGACCGTGGAAAAACCCAGATGAGGGCTCTGCTTTTGTGGAGCAGGGCTCCTGAGGCAGAATAACATCAAGAAACCACTTCTGCTGAGTGAAAGGCTGCCACTGAGTTTGTAAACTGCTTCATCTGAGCTAATAACAGCCATGCTGAGACCCCAAACCAGCATGGACAGGGCAGCTGGGGTGCTTGTTCCCTTGCCAGGCTGATCCAGTCCAGAGGAGCCCCCATGGACAGCAAAGGGCTGATTCTTCCTGTTTCTCAGTGGTGAGCCACTCATGGAGGCACAAAGTCTACCCCAAATTGCTTTCTTCCGAAATGAAGCCCTGTCTTCATTATTTGTCTAAAATATACCCCTGAAATCAGCACATCCTGAAACATTCCCTCTTTAGTATATTTTAAATAACAGCCCTGATATAAGGCACTTTTGGAATAACATTAACATCTGGGCTGACCCCGCCTCCCTACCAAGTTTCAGCCTGATGTTAATTAAAACAGGCAAGTTATAAACCCCAGGAAATGGCAGCTGACCCTTGACTATGAATGCAATGCTGTAATAATATGCAGTAAAAAGGAGGCATAGTCAAACTGCTGCCCAGTTCATTCCTAGAACGATGCTCTTTCTTTCTCACTACTGTGCTCCCTTGATCTGGGAAGTGAGACCATTACCTCACCATCACCTTTGATGGGCTCCTCTCTGTTTTCAGGGTGGTAGGCGGCAGGGAGGCAGCCTGCGTTCCACGAGTCACCCATAAGAAAATGATCCTGGTGTGACAGAAGAAGCTGTCTCTTGTAAATCTGAAAAGTAAAACATGGTTTCCTGACCACGTGTGGTCACTGATGATCCCGTGTTGCTCTCTGTCAGGACAGGGTTAGCCAGAACAGACCTGATGCCTGCAAAAAGAAAGGATTATTCTTTCCACTCTGTATTCCCAGCTGGACATGAATGGGGAAGGTGGAGGAGGATGGCCCCAAGAAAGTGGATATAAACTCCCGAGCTGAGGGCAGAGCAGAGGTTTGCCATGTGCCACCTTCAGAGATGCCACCTCAGCTCTGTGCTGGAGCAGTGAGAAGATGCAGAGTTTACTTGCATGTGTCCATCACTGTAGCTGACCTTTCTTTGGTGGTCCATAAGCAAAAGAGTGTAGGTGGCTGTGATAGTGAGCCAGCTGACAGCTGAGAGCCAGAGTGGTGAGATGGGGTCAGGGTGGAACTGGAGAAACCCCTGAGCAGCATCACCACATCTCTCACTGACTGAATATTAGATGTGATTTGGAAGTAATTAAAGGAATGTTTTTGTTGTTGTTGGAAAATTCAGTGCTGTTGAAATGGGACTGTTTCCTCTCAAGATGTTGCTTTTTGTCAAGCTATGAATGAAAAGGAAAAAAAACAACAAACACAAAAACCCTCCCGAAACAAAACAAAACAAGCAAAACCCCAAATCCAAAGGGCTCCTTGCCCTGCAAGCCTCTCTAAGTAAACCCTATAGGTTTCAGTTCCTGTGGCACATCAGAATCCAGCACGGCAGCGTTCACAGGGTCCCAGAGAATGTATCCCATTGTTAGTAAACAAATTAAGCTAGCTTTTGAGCAGCTACATTTTATCTTCTCTGCGAGCTGGAGGAATCAGGATATGAGCCTACGAAAGGCTGGGATGTAATGGATGCACCCTGCCCCTTCTCTCTTTGAGGCATGGGAAAGGTCAACTTTTGTCCTCTAAAATGTGTCACTGCTATAAATATGACTGCATAATTTATTGCAAATTGTTTAGCAAATTTATTACAAACTATTAATAAACCTCCTTGAAACAGCACAATGAGCGTGTGCAATAAACAAGGAAAATATTTGCTTGATTCAAACCATATTGGATGATGCTAAATTACTGTTGAATAGATACATTTTGAAGGCCTAGAGGGATGAGCGCAGCCAGCGCCCGGATGCTGCATTGCTTGCCCAGAGCACACATGTCAGAAAATGTCGGGGAAGTGACCAAACCTTTTTGTCAATGGTTTAAAGCTGAGATAAGCCCCGAGTGTTTAAATTGGCAATTCTAATAGCTACCTCAATCCAATCCAATTCACAGCAGCTTGGCTTGTAAGGCAATTGGTGATACAGTGTTAATGCCAACTAATCTGATAAAAATTGACACAATGACAACGTTGGGCCATTAGTTACCAGCAGTTTTTATGTCTGTGTAAATCCATCGTGTTTTACAAGGTACAGGGGATTCTGGGAGTCAGGGAATCCTTCTGTTTTTTCCGAACTGTGGAAATAAAGCGGTTTTGCCAGGGAAGCAAACTCATCCTCTTGCCGTGCGCGCTGCCTCTGAGCACGAGAGTGTTAAATGGCAAAATTCATCACAACTAATTTCTATTTGCCATCTATTAGGCTACATTGTTTTGTCCTCAACGTCAGGTTAAATAATGAACCTCTCGGAATAGAGTAAATTAACCTCCACTTTATGTTCATGTCATTGTCAAATGGAAACATCACTTGTACAAATGAAAAAGATTCATTAGTAAAGCTAATGCATAGGCTCCACTCCAGTAAAAGATAAGAGCGATTGAGGCCTTGTCATAATGCCGTGTTGAACCGCTGGCTTGTTATTTATGATGCCTGCCATAATCTTTGGAGATTATTTTCAGCAATGGTAATTAGCACACAATGCATCAGGAACAATTATGGAACAATGTCTTAGCTTGACAGGTATGCCACCCTGCTGCAGGCGAGCTATGATCCATGAGAAATTCAATCAAATCTGCATGCTGCAGGGAGTTTATTAATATTTCTCCTTCCAAGGCAGTTTGAAAGGCAGCTATGCTTGACCGGCCACCCAAAAATACTTAGCAGCGTGATATGAGTGTGCTCCTTGTTAATACACACCTATCTGCACAGAGCCTTCCTATGCGCTTCCAGCTGATTAAAATAATGTCTGTGATTTTGCTGTTTGCCACAGTGACGAGAAAATTGCTACCTCCCCTCGCTGGCCACGGGGCCTCATTCAGGGTAGGCTGTTGCTAAAGGAGCTCTGTAACGAAGTGGCAAATTCCTGCACTGACACAAATCCTGTAAGTCTGCTCAAAGCAGTGGGACTATGCTGATTTACAACTCCTTACATCCCAGTTTAGGAATCAAAGTATCCCCGATGAAGGCAATTTTCCACTGAATAGCACAAATGCAACAGCGTGGCAGTTTCTTGTTTCTGTGTGAAGCCTCTCACGAGAAATGTGGGGCATCAACAGTGCACAAAGGAGAGGTGTCGTTGAGGAGTATTGCACATGGATGGTAAGCGTGGGACAGTTTAGAGGTTGGACATCAAAGGTCCTTGGAGCAATGGAGGTTATTGGCCCCCCCAGGCAGGATCAGTGTGGAGCAAGGGGAGTCTCATCTTTGCTGCCCTATTTGAGCTGTAAAGTGTCCTCTTGCCACCCCTTATCCACTCCCCTAAAAAAGTTGTTGCCAGGTGGCTGAATGCAGCTTCCATCCTGCACAGGATGCAGGAACTCAGGAATGCAGGATGGGGCTGTGGGAATTACCAGCTCCTGTAGAGAGTTATGGGAGATAAGTGGGAATTGGGCTCATCTGAGCTGGCTTTATAAACCTGAAGGCTTGGGACAGTCCTGTTTCCTGCTGGCAACTTCCATGACTTACAGCAGCATCTCATTTCAATGGTCAGTGGAAGGATCACCTCTCTTTTTCCAGGCTACCTAGGCTATCTTAGGGCTCCATAAATGCCAGACAGTAGCAGGAGACTGAGATCACAGAAGGCATATAAAGCCTAAATTCTTCTGTGGTTGAGGAAGGTAGGACCCCAAACGCATTTAGGAGTGTTGTAACTCCAGCTGATCTGCCATGAACCACTTTATTTCCATAGGGTTCAGAGAATTCCTGCCATGTGACTGCTCATTACTTCCGTGAGCCAGCACAGAGTTAATGTATGTGGCACATGCGGTGGTTGTAGCCCCCCCGCCCAGTGTAGATGTAGCATCTGTGGCTACAACTGATTTTAGTACCTGCTGAATAATCCTTCTGTTGTTTTAGAGACAATGGCACATGCACCATCGTTTTGTTGTTTTCTTTTTCAGTAGTGGCATGTGGATCTTCCAGCCAACTTCTAGACCTGCCTAGGAGTGCACAGCAGAACTGTACAAGATGGGGCCAAGCTGAGGTGAGGAGATACACAAATCATGTATCAGTCTTTAGAAATTCAGTAGTTTTCTAGCTTCATTAAAAAATAACAGTACAAAGCCAGAGAGCACCTTGGCTACGTCTTAAGAGGACTTTGGCTTCATGTTTCTGGGCAACCTGATACAGTTGAAGACGTCCCTGCTCAGTGCAGTGGGGCTGGACTAGATGACCTTTGAAGGTCCCTTCCAACCCAGTTTATTCTGATTCTGTGTTTCTTAGATATGCAGATTGAGATAACTGCCTGATAAATACTGTTTAACGTCTTCTTTGGTTACTAATAGACTGGGGGATACTTTATCATCCTCATTTAATAAAAATACATCACTCTGCTTCTTTCTATGTGCAGAAGTGGAAGTGCTAAATGCACATTTCTGCCCATTCTGCATCATTATTAATGATTTATCATTGTCATCCTTTAATAGGCTTATATAATGATTAGGATTTCTTTTGTTCTTAATAATGCTTAAAGATCATTAAGAAAGAGAATTCATGCACACATGTCAGCGGGTGAAGAGACACCCTTAACACAGGGGGACATCCTGGGTGGAGAGCAAGAATGTGGAAAGGATGGCTGGTTGCATTTAGCAGCACCAACCATGTTATAAAATCATCAGTCGGAAAGGAATTGTTGCTTTTTGTTTATTTTAACATCATTTTCCATGGGGACTGCTGCTAGGGGCTGAAAGGCACGTCTGAGTTGTGTTTTTCTCTAATGCAAACATTGTTCGGTACTTCTGTTGCACACAAGCTCTTTCCTTCCTCTTGTTTGGTATTTAAATGTATGGATGGCTTGTGATTAGGAGCAGGTGGAGAGGGAGAACAGGACAAAGTGATTTTAAGTCACTCCTCTTTTGTGCCACCATCTGTTCCTAGGCTGGAGTGAAAGTGAATGCACACAAAACTGATCGGCACCATAACTTTTCCAAAGAAAATGAGGATGATCAGGAGAATCCCAGGGGACATAGGCCTGATGGGAGAGGTCACACCCTCCTCCTCTATACCCTGACAGATTGCTGTGCTGCTTTTCTGCTTGGAACAGACAAGCCGCCATTTATTAATTATGGGTTGTTCTGCTGCTGAACCTAAAACTTGGGCCCCCCCGTGCTCAGTGCTGTATTAACACAGAGCTCAGCGGCAGTCATTGGCCCCAAAGACCTTACAGTTTGCATGTAAGAATAAAGAAAACAGATGGATACAACAAACCGACTGCAGGAGCATGAAGTAACCATGAGACAATTATGATCCGTTAAACTATTCAGGTCAGGAAATGCACTGCAATACTATCCTCAATTGAAACACTAGAAGGATGCTAAATGGGCAGAGGGCAGAGTGTAATGATTAGATTTGGGACAATGGATTGAACGTTCTATTGCAGACATTGCCACAGGATTTTTAATGATCAGTTTTGATTATAGCTTGTGTTTTACATACTACCCAAGGAACCTGTATCTCCAGTTGCTTTATAGCTCCTTGATGTGCACCTTGTGAAGACCTAGAGGCCTGGTATTTAACGCTCACATTAATTTTGATGAGCACTGAACTGATCACTGAGGCTTGCACATCTCAGAAGTTGAGTATCTCCCCTCAGAAAACAGCTTTGGTTGCCGTAGCCATCCCTGCAAAACATACCTGCCACTCCACATACCAAAAAGCACTGAAAGTTGTTTGGGAACAGGCTCAGGATGTTCCAAAGGCATTCGCTCAGTGTGTTTGTGAGTCAGCTCAAGGTGAGAGACCTTTAGAGGGCACTGAAAAATACCTAGCCGGGCTTCTAGATTCTACACTGATGGTGCTGTGGACATGGCACCTGGCAGAAAGAAGCCTAACGTGATTCCAACCCCAAATTTAGCACAGGGACTGTGCTTCACGTGGGCAGAGCCTAAAAAGAGTGCAGGATACAAGCAGCTAGTTGTGAAGCTGGAGATGTGTGGTGTGTGCAGGTACCTGCAGCCCTTCTGCGCTCAGGAGCAGCCTAAGCTTTGTGTGCTCCTCACTTGCCTTCTGTCCAGCACCTACTTGCTCAGTGCAGAGCAACACTAGACATCATGCTGTGGTATCCAGCTGAGAAGATCCCTATGGACATTCTTGAGGGACTGAAGACAGTATCAGCCTACCAAGCTAATGAATGCTTTCCACCTCTGCCCACCTCGAGGAAGGCTGAGGTCCCTCAACAGCTGTCTGCTCGCTTTTAATGGACTTCTCTGAAGGTGACGCTGGCCTGAGATCTTCAGTGATGCTGCTGCAAACATCCAGTGAATAAGGACAGAGTGAGGATTTCCCTTAGAGGCTTTGAATAGTTCGTTGCTCAGAGTAAAGTGTCTGCCTGTTGCTTGAGGAGCCTGTCCAGATAGAGGGCTTTGCTGTACTTGTACTCACCTTCTATGAATGTTTGGGTTGGCTCCAACCTATTGTGGCTCTCCAGAGTTTTACAACTTTAAATCAGGTATTCAGTGGTCTTTGACTCCACGTTGGTCCATACAGCCAAACCCTGACAAAAACTGTTTAATGCCTTATACAAGTTATTTTCTTTTTAATGATTCCGGCCAGAGATGCTGAGTTGAAGAACCAAACTAATTTCATGTGCTTCTCCAACACCCCATTATGACATTTATGACATATTTTTCTGTTTAGAGGGATGATTTTTTCCAGATGCCAGCACATCTAAAACTACCTAATGAGATTTCCACAGATGTAGAGCTTAAAACCGTCTACAGTATTTTTATTTTTCTCTCTAAGTGATGATGCTTTCCAACTGAAACATTTCCAGTATAAAGCACTAGAAACAGTTCAATGTGTATCAGATTCATAGACAGAAAAGCTTGTTCATTTTAAGGCAGGTATTGTAATTGAGTCTTGGATTTTCTACCACTTGATTTGAAATGAGTTTTTTCTTTGGTGTTGGTCAAGATTTAAAGACCAAATTCCAGATCTGGAGTTCAAGGTGGACAGGGATCACTTCAAAGGCTCTGTACCTCTTCTCTGCAGCAACACCACTTCCCTACACATAGTGTCTTGCCTTCTGCATTGCAAAGAAGGTATCATTGGATCTGTTTTACACTAGGAAAAGATGAAAGATGAAGTGACCAGTGGGTCAATCTCCCTCTTTTCTCCATGGCTGGGAGAAGACTTTGTTTCTTTGAGGACAGTTGATGCTTTCCCTTTCTTGTTATTTTCATCCTTTGCAGGATGGTGATGGTGAGTGGTCTCTACAGGGCGGACTCTACCCCTCTACTCCCTGCTCTTTTTCCCCTAGTCTGCCCATTTAGGAGGGAGGAAACTAGGCTGAGAATTGTTTACCCCACCAGACGAGGCACTGTGCAAGGTCATTTAAGGTCCCCAGAAGAAAGCCAGGCAGATGCAATGTGGTTGTTATTTGATGAGAGCCTCAGCAAGGCAGGATGTTTATACTGCTGCTGGATGGTCATTTTCACCTTTGTTCTTTACACTTTTCTTTCCTAATGCAGCTGATGAGACCCATAGTTTGTTCAGGATCAGGAAAAACATCTGACTCCTTGAGAGCCATTCCCCTGGTGAATATGGAACAACACAAGCAAAAGATCTTGTGTTATTCTGTGGCTGGCACCAGGATTACTCTCTTGGATGTAATACCCAGGATGTGGAGACATGAGAAAGCTGTTCAACCATGTATTGGGTGGGTGTAAATCCTGCAACCTACTGCTTCCCCACATTTCTTCTGCTTTCACACAGAACAATTATTATATTTCAGTGAAGAATGACCCCTATTACACTTGAAATAAATTGCAGCATTGTCTGGAAATATTTAAGCTGAATCTCTTTCACTCCTGTAGGAGCAGAACACCCACAACCAAGGAAGGGAGGCTGGGCCGTTCCAGCACTGAACTCAGCCTTGCAGATGTCTGTCACCTGTTTCTAAGGAAATGTGCAAGTGTTTGGGAAAGAGCTGGGCTTCGTTGTTATTGTGGGAATCTGAAACCACTCTGAACTTTGCCCTTCTATCCCCTTTCCAAATTTCTTTTTCTGTTTTTTACAGAAGAGAAATTACTATGCTCATACTTCACTCACTGCTTTGCATTAAGGGCTCTCTTCTACAAAATGCCAAGTGCTCTTAACTCTTGTCCAAGCTCAAAGTTGCTCTGACCTTGCCAGAATTGAGCTATAAGATTCAGATTTGGCCATAAGCTAGAAAGTCAATCTCTAGCCCATGTTAACTGATCTCTTCAGGCAACACCCCCACTCCTGGCTGGGGAAGGGTGTCATTCAGCATGACACATGGTATTAATACGTAAGAACAGACCATACCTGCAGTAGTGTTTCCATTTGTGGGGCCCATACCTCTTGCACTACTCGGCAGTGTGCTAGGCAGGAAAATGAGTAGTGTGCCTTCAACCAGCTAGTGGGGCTGCTAAACAAGAAGCTATTGGTCCCTCATGGAGAAGGGCAGAAGCTGGATGCCTGTAGAACAGGAGAGAAAATCTTGTGGTCTGGATCTGGCCCCAGTCTTCTTTCTGAATAGCCCACAGCTAGGTTACTCCCTTTCCATTCTCACCAACTGCATGAGACTCTTAACTGAGCTCCATCACTAAAACCTTGTTCCTTCACCCCAGCAGTTTGGCAGGTCACTGTGCTTCTCAGGAATGCAAATAAGAGAAAGCCTTAGCAAGTGGAAAGCATGGTATGATGCTTGTCATGAGGAATCTTCCCAAACTAGTGCCATTGTTACGCAGCAGTCTGTCCTTCTCAGTCCAAGCACAGTCATGGCTTGGAGAAGCTGCTTTCCAGGCTTCAGACTGTGAGCAGAGCTCATCTGACTCCTCCATGGGAAACAAACACACTGCAGAGCTGGATGTTGTTTTACAGGAGAGGTGCCCCACATCTGGTACAACCTCATGGACACCAAGTTTAATAAATCAAGAGCAGGATCAAGACAATCATCCAGATGCTGTATTGGGTGGGACTGTCAGCTGGGATAATTTTGGATCCAGAAGCAGGTTCATGTCCCAGCAAACAAAAGAGGTATGGGTTTAGTTGGAGTTAAAGACAGCTTGAATATCTGTCGCCTGCTCCCTCAGTGGAATGTTTTGGTGTTAGAAGCTATCTAGAAGAGGGTGAGAATATTGTCCACCTTTGCATTTTGTGTAATAAAATGATCCCTGGTCAGCTGCCCGGTCAGTTAAGAATAATGCATCCACCACTTTGCATGATTAATCAGATGTCAGGATGTATGCTCTCTCCCAGCATATCATCCCATGGCAGCCAGCAGCGCGTTTACAAATGTAGAAAGAAAGAAAAAAAAAGCAATAATAGGAAAAAGAATTATTTTTATGTGTACTTGTCTGAAGACATATTTTTCCATTCAGTAATTTGAAAAAAAATAACCATCTGGAAAAAATCATATTACGGACAAGGCATGTCATGACATTTACAGCAAATATTTTTGCTGCTAGTATCAAAACCAGCCCTTTGCTCTATCAAGGGCTGAATATTCGTATACACATAAATGTTCAGTAAATAAAAGGGCCTCTGTAGAAACTCCTTGCTGGGCAATCCTGCGCTCCCAGAGTTCACATTCTCATTTGTTTATACTTTTTTCAAACCCCTATTTTTTGCATCTCAGATGTAAGTGCCTGTAGTTCCTTTCCTTTGCCCTTTTGGTCTCAGGAGGATGACAATAAAAGGCACTTCTGTGGAAAAAGTCCTGATGTAAGTAAAGGTATCAGGAGGTTATGAGGTCATGAGCATAAATGAGGCAAAGTTTCCAAAGAAATTATCAAGAAAATTTATAATCGTAGGCAGTCTTGTTGAGCCAGAAGAAGAAATTAAATGTGTGCATCGTGTGCCAGGTTTTGAGAGGGAGCAGAGAAAGAAACCAAACAGCTCCTGTCATCTTCTAGATTGGTTGGAGCCTCCTAAGTATGTTGTTGGTCCCTGCAAGCTGCACTGTGGCAGCAGTGCTTGCGGTTGAATGACAACTCCCCTCTCTGTGGCACTCCTCCTACTGAGGTAGAAGAGCCTTTATTAAAACTCAGCACTCTTTTTGAGTCTAGAGGCTAATGTATGGGTTACATGAGGTGTACATCTTGCACAGGGTCTTTTTCACATAGGCAGGGTGCCCCCAGTTTGGGTTATCTGCAGTCTGTGCATCCTACAGGATGTTTTCTCCTTTGGGGTATCTGGAGCACATTCCTGGGATGCTGCAGGGTCCAGTATCCGTACAGGTATCTGCATTCCTCTCCAAAGCAGCAGCTCTGAGGATACTGTTTCAGTAAAGATCATGCCTTGAAAAGGTGAGATGTCAGCATCTACATTGGGGTGGCAGAAAGAAGGAAATTACGGCTTTGGTTTACAGAGCAGTAAGCAGTGGTGACATTGGCAGCCAGATGTTCCCAGGGTGTGGGTGTTTGGATGCACAGGTTTCCCTGTGGCCAGCCTCTGTCTGTTGAGAGGTTATGGGCTGTAACGTTCATACTGCTTGTAACATCCAATTACCATATGCACTATAAACTCATATATATCGTGGGCTTTGAATGTTCCTTTAAAAATATAATTTAATATATTAAACTATAGAAACTGTCAGGTAGTACTGATACTTATATTTCTTTATCGTATGTATTATCATACCTTTAAAATCTAAAAGGTTCTAGGAATTCTCCCTGTTTTGCATGGATTCTGAACATAACCTACTATTTTACTCAAGCAGGCACTTTGCAACTGTTACAGTTAATTTTAAATATATTTTCCTCTTAGCATCTTATGAGCACTGCCTCCCAAGGTGCCTCCACAAATGATGGAGGTAGCAGACAAGCAGTTGTTCTGTTTAGCCTCCTTGAAATGGTAACGTGGTAATTCTTAATCGCAGCATGTGACTCCTTTGACATAAAGGAAAAGTGCTTCCTTCTCTGGGAGGAGGGGCAGTGGAAATGAATCTTCTTAACAAAAATCAATACCCCAAAATTTGAAATCAGTTGATGCAACTGAGTTCAACTTGCTTATTAACAGACCTGACCAATCAGTTCCATGTGCTCCCTGTTGCTAAGTTGCCTCTATAAACAAATTGATTAATTGATTTATATTTTTCCCCCCAAGGCCTTTTAGTGTATAAGCAGGTCAGGCAGCTATGATTTCATTCTGCTCATCTGCTCAGCACTGGCTTTGTAAATCAGGTTGGAATCCCAGTTCTTCATCTCAAAGATCAGCAGTGTCATCTGAAAACTCAGAGAGAGAGGTGGATTCATGGAGAAACTTCAGCTCTCTGAGAAGATGGGGAAAGAGTGGGACTGGATTTCAGTGTGGGAGTGGAAACTATCCACCATGTCCCTGAATTTGGAGTTCTTAGGTCAGAACCTGTCCTTATAGCTTCAGACTTAGTTTGAACTGGAAAAAAAAGTAAGGAATAAACGTACGGTTTTAATTTGGCTTTCTCTTCCAGCTGTTTCTGAGTGAGATCTTGACTGAAAATCTGTTTGAACTGGCTATATTAACCTACCTCTATGATTTGAGGCCAGATTCTAGTGAGAACAATGTCTGAGATTTTAGAGATGTCACAAATAGCCCTAGGCCTCAGTTTGCTATTAAATTTGTGTTTAATCTCGCCTCTACAGCAAAGCTGCCTTTGCAGATGGTCCTGGTGGCCCTATTGCTGGGCATGATTAGAAGCTGGGTCTGTTTTGCTCAGCATGTTACTGCTTGACAATTCACCACTGGGTTTTTGAAGCTGTGTTCCCGATGCCAGGCAGAAAGGCAGCCAGAGCAAGCCTGTTGCAGCTTCAAAGTCAGAAAACAAAGATATTCCCACAGTACACTGAACAAAATGAAAAAAAACAAACAAAATAAACCAAAAAGAAGAGGAAATCTAGAGTCTTCACTGTGTCAGCAGTAGCAAAGGAGACAAAGGGCCAGGTCTGGAGCTGGCATAGCCACAGGGGAAGGAAGAACCACAGCTGCCTTTTATTGCAGAATGATGCAAGCTGGATGCAGGCAGCCCCTTTTAAACTTCCTTAAACCCAATCTATCTTCCTGCTACTCCACCCTATGTGACAGGCTGTTTTAAGAGGTAAGAAAAGCATCTTGCTGAATAGCTTTGGAGGCTTGCTGCCATTAGCAGAATGTTTAATTCCTTAGCAAATGATTTCTGGACTTAGTTATTTACTTAATTAGCTGTGATTGTATTGAATGAATTCCTAGTCTTAAAGCTGAATGGGAAGTATGCATGCGCAAAGACTAGGTACTGCAGGACCTGTGCAAACGGCAATTGATACCATGGAAGTGTGTGGAAATTACTGCTGGTGTGTGCCTTGGTAGGTTACTACTGGGGGAACAGGTTAACAGAAAAGGAGACTGGCAAGATGATCTTGAGTCTGCTGGATGTATTAGTAAAGAGATCAAACCTAAAATGTTTTAGCCAAAATTTGGAATGTTTTCAGTTGTAAAAAGGCGTCTTTCCTGAATCTGGAAACACACAATGAATTGGGTATCTAGGGGGTATTTTGGATTAAAATCAGCTATTTCAAAATGCTAATAGTTTATATACTGGCATGTCACTTCATGTACTTCTTTCCTTTCTGTTCCCCTACACCCTACTTAGATGAAGAAGCCAGAGAATGCAACAACAGCCGTATCTTTCTGGAATGGGTTCCTCCGTATCTCCTCGGTTTTACTTTTCCTAAAGTTGTGGATTTTCTGGGTGTTTTCACAATTTTTCAACTGCAAACAAACTGAAAAACAGCAGAAAATCAACTGGAAAAAAGAGAGTAAAAATGGAGGGGGAAAAATAGGGGAAGTATCAGTGATTCCATCACAGTAAGTTTCAAAACCTAGTGGAGAAGAAAAAAGAAGGGGGAAAAAAAAAGGCTTTAGAAAAATCACCACAAATATTTCAGAGTGAAAAGTTTCGGAATAAAAAAAACTATGACATTTTTAAACAGTTCTTCTGTTTGTTTAAATCAGTTCCAGCGCTATCAAGTTAGCTTAGAAACAGAAGTGTTAGAGTCAAGAGGTTCAAAATGCAGCCATTTAAAGAGCAAATTGAATTTCCAGAAGGATTTCATAGTCTTCTGTAGAGAAAGATTGATGCTTTTTGGGAGTCAAGGTTTGGACCAGGCTTGGGATTTAAGGCTGAAATCACACAAACTTTGTTTCTGTAGTTTTTGGCTGCACAGCAGCAAACATCTTGCTCCATTATCTTGATTTGCAAAAGCATCACAAGAGTAGTTGCTCTAATGAGCTCTTGGTTCTTTTCCCATTTTAGGTTAGATGCAAACCCAAAACACTGGTGGCTGATTCAGACCTTGGGATTTGAGCCTGAACTTATCCCAGAATTTAGAAGTGTTGATCTTCAAGATTTTGGCTTTTACCTATTTCCAGTCAAAATACATTTCGCATGACTTAATCACTTAGTTAAGTAAATTGAAGGCGGTTAATTGTTTGTTTCTTTCTTTAGTCTCAAAGTAATTAAAAGTTAATTCTTTCCATAGTTGAAACTATACTCTGAAGCAGAAAAAAATTAAGATTTTATTACTACCAAGGGTTTTGTTATTGATCCTAATGATATAATTACGCTTGTCCTCAAGGTGATTCAAGGTAATAATGCCTTTTCTCTGTAGATTTGAGGTCTCACCAAACATTAATTGAATACCTGTGCTGGTTTTGGCTGGGGTACAGTTAATTCTCTTCACAGTAGTTTGTACGGGGCTGGGTTTTGGATTTGTGCTGGAAACAGTGCTGATAATATAGGTCCGTTTTAGCTATTGCTGAGCAGTACTTGCACAGAGCCAAGGCCTTTTCTGCTCATCACTCCACCAGCAAGGAGGCCGGGGGTGCACGAGGAGTTGGGAGGCGACACAACCAGGGCAGCTGACCCCAACTGACCCAAAGGACATTCCATACTATATGACATACTGCTAGCATGTAGAGCTGGGGGAAGCTGGGAGATGAAGAGGGGGAAGTTCAGAGTGAGGACATTTATCTTCTCAAGTCACCATTATGCGTGATGGAGCCCTGCTTTCCTGGAGATGCCTGAACACCTGCCTGCAAAGGGAAGTGGTGAATGAATTCCTTGGTTTGCTTTACCAAGACTTGGTAAAGCTTTGGTAAAGCTTTGTGTGGCTTTTGCTTTATCTATTAAACTGTCTTTATCTTAACCCACAAACTTTTTCACTTTTACTCTCCCCACTCCAGCTGTGGGGTAGTGAGCAAGTGTCTAGATGGTGCTTAGCTGCTGGCTGGGGTTAAACCATGTCACTACTTCACCTTAGAAACAAGATAGGCTAACGCTTGTGTGCTACAGTGGCTATTGCATTAGCTTTAAGTGTAGGCAGACTAGGGCATAACATTGCCAGGGAACACGTATACGCATTGCTCTCTGTGTCTTTACAGCCAGCCAAAGAAAAGTGTGCAATGGTCCCAGGGCTGGTACTGTCTTTGCCCTCAGCAGGGCCATGTGGTGGCCTCAGAGCTTGTCTGGATGCCACCAGCTGGGACAGCCCTGGGCTGTGCTCTGTTTCTTAGAACAAATAAGACCCCAGAACAGAATGCAACTGAAGAATGACAGGCCAATGTATATTTAGGAGTAGGAAAAGAAGATTTTCCTATTTCAATCCATCCTTTCCCTGGCTATCAGCAAGCAGATACTAGATCAATAGGACATGGCTTACACCTACTACCATGGTGAGGCAACCAGGGCCTTCCCCTGGTGCATACTAATTTTTGTTTCTCTCCTCTTGCCACTTTGGCCCTTTTATACATTTCTTCACTGTACTAGAAATTTCTTTTATGTATCAAAGAAAAGAGCCTTAAAAGATCCCTTCAAATGCCAAAACATCAGAAACAGTGGAGAAATGTAGCATGACATTCAAGTTTAGGCATGTTTTTTCCTCTGACTGCTTCTTTTCATCTCTATAGGAAAGAGGGACCTTTTAATATGGGTCTTGTTGGGTGTTCATTTTGTTTTCAGAGTTAGGACACTAACTCTGACATCCCCAGGAGTGTATGACCTCTATCTCTCAAAAAATACAACAGACAAAACTACTCCTCATAATTAATCATAAACTTTATCTCTGATTAGTGCACCAACAAAACAACCTTTTCTTATGCCACCATTTGATATGCCGGACATATGTCAGAAAAGACATGGGCCATCCATATCTTATCTTACATTAAGAAGAGTTATCCAGAAATATACCTTCATTACTGTGACAGTCATGTCAAAAAGAATCGATTTATTGTCAACGCATCTAACCTAACAATGTTAATGGACTCTTCTGACATCTTCTTCTCATTTGTTTCCTACATGCCTATCAAAGAGACGATGCAAGCTCTGGGGAGTGGTGTGTGTATGTGTTAAGAAAGCCCATGAAGGCTCCTTGGATTGCTTATGATGAAGTGAGGTGGGGATGCAGAAGGAGGAATTGGGAAGAGGTTTCTCCAACACCAGAACAGACCTAACGTAGAACTTCAGCTTCCTCTGCTTCTGTATTTCCTCAAACTTTAACAGTTCTTCTGGGGATTAGTTAATGAGGTTGATTACTCCACTGGTTAGCAATATCTGGAAAGGATTTACCTGCATTTCACCTCTGCATATTTACTTGTGGCTCTGATGGTGCTCAGCACTGCTGTGAAGGATAGATGTCCTCTGGGGCTGTCAGAAGGTGAATATCTGATACTGGGCAGGAGTGTTTTTTATGTTGTGTCTTTGCCAAGTCAGTCACTGGGAAACCTATTCTGAGAAAGGCTCTGCATTCCTGTTATGAATGAACTTGCCTTCTGCCAAAGTATGACTGGCTGTCTGCTGCTAATCAGTGGTAACAGGATGACCTTTGCAAGTGAATAGAGCAAAAGGCAATTTGTCTTATAGAACTTGTACAACTGTTTTGTTTAGTGAAACAACGTGATTATAATCTTCCCACAAAGGCACATAAACAATTAAAGTAAATTCCCTCACATGTTGCTAGGTGTTTACATAACTCATCCTCCTCTCTTATCAAATGATGTGTACAACGCAGTCCTGACTCTGGCAGAACTTGGATCGTGTAAGCTTAATCAAACCTGGTAAACAAATGTGTTTCCTATAATGCTGGAACAGCATCAGCACAAGCCAGCACACATTTATTTATGCACCTAGGCTCTGTTTTAAAAAAGATTTCCAGTCACCAGCGTGCAGTACTTAAACAGCCAGGGGAAATACAGGAACGTATGCTATAACTAAGGGCATAGATACCACTCTCTTGGTGCCCGTTGTATTTTCCACTTCCCCAAAACTGCCAGTTTTTGGTTTGAGTTTGTTATTCGAAAGATGACTGAGAGGGCCAGACTGTTGGTTTTTGTATTTTCTACTTCAAGTTAAAGCTATCACAAAATTCTTTGTTTACAAGCATTTACCAAGTGTACCCCAAAGAAGGGATGTGAAGCTTTCTGCTGCCTTGACACTGTCCTGCTGTGTCTGGTCTTGGTTCATTCAAATGTCATTTCACAGGGGCTGAACCAAATGATCAAATTGCTCATATAACCCTAAGGTCTGAGTCTTAAAAGTTTTCTTTTTCCCTTTCTTTTTTTTCCTTTCCACTTTATGTGGGAAAGCTACAGAACCTACTTTCAGTGCACAGGAAAAAGTGTGTTAATGTGCCAACATCAAGTGAATTCCACGAGTCTTCTATTCATTAAACTCCCAGTTCCTCTGCATATAATTTATGTCAGTTCGGTTATGCTCCTCCAGGGTGTGCTACTAAAAGAAAAAAGAAACAGGTATTTAGCCAAAAAAGAGGTGTTTTTGGCTCCAGAAATCAACTTGCACCTCCTGACAAAGGAAAAAGACATGTTTTGCCAAAAAAACAAATAACCAGGCCTATTTTTTAAAGCCTGCAGTTAGAAGGCATAACATTTACATTGTTCTGTAGCGATTCCCTTTTCCTAACACATGTGCAAAACAAACAAACAAAAAAACCCCTTATTTCTCTCCATTATTGGCCTTGTACATTCATGACCCTGCTTATAAGATCTAGTGGTGACTTCATGCTTGTAGAGGGCTGTTTGGTGGTGGATCTGACCCAGACCATGGGC